GGTGTGGCTGCAGCTCAGTGGGGCTGCAGTAGAGCGGCCATTGGGGGTTCAAGCCAGCGCTGGGCGTCAGCAGGGCTGTGATGGGCGCGTCCCGGAGCCTGGCCTGGACCTATCTGCTTCTGAAAGGGGAGGGGAGGGCGGACACGAGATGGATATTGTTTGGAAACCTGCAAACCTGTACACCTGAATTAAAGGAAGTCAAACCCAGCTGTGCGAGGCCTTTGCTTCTGGAAGCCTAGACTCTGCTGAGGGGCAGAGGCTGCACCGCATGCCCAACGCGCGGAGGGACTGCGTCTGTCTGGTGGGGACGCACCCGGCCCACAGACCCCGGGCGCTGGTGGGTGGTGTAAAGCAGTTACATGGGCCACGGGTTTCGGCACCGAGTCTGCTTCCACGTTGGCCTGGGGCGCGGGAGGGGCGGGAGGGGCTGGGCAGGGCCTGGCTTTCCAGCCCTTCGGCCCGGCTGGCCCCTCCGCCTGGTTGGCCGTCGGCACCACATCCTGGGCTGCGGCGTGGCCGGGCTGCCGTGGCCAGTGGAGCTGGTAAGCCCTCCCAGCACAGCGGCCCCTGAAGTCTGCTTGGCTTCCGGGCTGTCTGCCCGGGCATGCTGGGGGCACCTGTCCGCTCCCCAGCCGGCACAGAAAGCCCGGCTGTGAGCTGCTTGGCAGGTTCCTCGGGCTGTTCGCTGAAGGCCCGTGGCCACGGCAAGCTCCGGTCTCACCCCAGTGGCTCCAAACTTGATGGGGTGACTTCACCTCCACGTCTGTGTCTCCTGGGATAGAGCTCCAGGGCCTCGGGGCCTCACCCTTCAGAGCTGCCTAAGCTTGACCCTCCCCTGGGCCAGCCGGCCGCCCCTGCCTAGCACACCTTTATTTCCAGAAAGAAAGGGCCCAGGTCTGGGGAGCGGCGGCAGGGCCCGGGTGAGTGGGCTTGTCTGCTGGAGCCACTGCGGTCAAGGGCGAGACCCTTTCTCAGAGAAAGCCACCCCCTCGGACCTGAGACCCGAGCCCTGTGGGTGTGGGAGGGAGGGAGCCTCGGCCTGGCCCAGTCCTAGCCCTGGGCAGCCGGGGTGGTGCCCTGGACGCGTGTGCTGCCGGGCCTGGGGGCACAGAGTTCGCCACTGGGTGGAGTCCCCGAGACTCAGGAGACCAGGCGCGGACCCTGGGTGCCCATGGCCTCCGGCTCTGCACGGCCCTGCCCTGGGCTCCCGGGGCGGCCACAGGTGCCGAGCACCGCACAGACCCCCAGTGCCAGTCTCAGGGAGACGGGCCTCGCCCGCACGCAGCCTCCCTGGGCCCTGCCCCCTGACCCCTCTTCTCCTGCAGGTGCAGCTGGACGCCTGGCCCCCGCCCTCTGCCTCCCCCTCCCGCAGAGCCTGAGGCTCCCAGCAGGCCATGCAGCTGTGCCCAGGTACGGAGGCCCCCAGCAGAGGACAGGCCCAGCTCCTTGTCTTTGGGGGCTCGCTGGTGTCACTGACACCTGCAGAGGGACAGCCGGGCTCCAACCTCGCCCCCGAGTCCTGACAGGCCCAGTGGGGTCACCCGGTGCCAGGCCCTGAGCCCGGGAGTGACGCC